GCTTGTGACCTGCATGCTAGTAGGCTATTTGGGAACAGTACAGGCTAGAAGCTACAACAGCAAAGCATTGTAAGGTATTCAAGATTATGCGGTAGATGGTGACACAACCGCTCACTGGCCTGGATTGCACCCCAGAATGTGACAGGTACTGCAATTTTATACAGAGATAAAATACAGGGTTACAACAGCAATTATTATTAATTAATACATACATCAATCCTAGAAAACTGACAGACAGACCCTGTGCAAGATGCTACATGAAATCTTTTGATAGCTTCATTTAGTTGAACAGGAGAAGGAAGCATTTATAACTGTTGGGAGTAAACCTTAAAAAAATCTCTTAAAATATAATTACAGTCTCCATTGCAAAAGTCAATGGAAATGAATAGTAACTAGTTTCATGAGCTCTGGAACCATCTTCTAAAATATAATAAAAATATATAACCCATGTACAGAAGTCTGTCAGAGAATAATATCCTTACTTTAGGTTTTTGAACTAACAATTTCTAAGGCTCTCTAGAGTAATGTCTACAGTATACCATTAAACTACAGAACCAAATTGGTTCAAGCCTCTTATATCAATATGGCACTTAAATGCAAGTACTTCTAGTAATTCTATCTACCACCAACAAACTATAATAACATATTATATGTGGAAGACTCAGTGATTAGAAATATTGGATTGAAGATAATGACTCCTATCACTAATACACCACTATAGTTGAACTCAAAGTGATAGCCAGTGCATGGACACAGAACCTGAAAATAAAGTCCAGTGTCATGGTACTATATTATGCAACCAATAGCAGCAGAGGGCATCATTCATAGATCCTGATCCATCAAAGCACCTAACAAGACGAATAACTTTTAGAATGTGATTAGTCCATTGACTTTAAACTAGCAGCTCACATGTATAATTACTCTCGAGGATGTGTACTACTTGGATTGTGACACACAAAAAAATTAGCCATACCATTTATATGTTACCCAGTGGTCCTAAGTTATGATGATTTCAGCACTCAAACAATACCCCATGACTAAGTAGTGAAGGGCACACTGTACTGCTACATATGGCAGCTTCTTCCTAACCTAGTATCCATAGCTATTAACGTAAGATACCACATTTACATATGCTTAGGCAGAGCTCCTTCAAAGTGAAGACAAAGTTGGGTGAATTATAAAGTCTATACACTATTATTTCATTTATATAATAATCCTTTATGGAAGAAATAAAAGACTACTTACACCAGAATAGAAAGGCTCACCAGACACACAGATCACATCCTGCTCCTGGATCATCAAAATATCTTTGGCTAAGTGCAGTCGCACTTTGAAAGGCTCCTGATTACCATCCTGCAGCAAACAAATCCCTGTCTTTGTCTTCAAAGGAAGGAACAGAGAGAAAAATTTGCTTAGATAAAGCAAATACATTTATATTTCTTAGGTTATTTATAATGGAGCCACCTTAACTTGAAAATACTGAATTCAGTTATCACAAACAGGTACATGAGATTATCATAGTTACTTGTAGCAGTTGGCTACTGTTGACTTTTTTTAAATGTTGTGGGCCTGACCTTGCTGATGAATTAATACAATCTTTGTCAATAGCTTCAGTGAGAACATATACTTTGGTGTCAGATAATTAATTGTTGGATGCCTTATCCATCTGCTCATGAGATAAGAATAGCATCTAACCAAAAGAAATAAACTTAATTTAACATCTCCAAAATAATCATATATAAATAAAGAGTAATTTACAAAAGCCAATATTGCCATGTACAATATCTAGTTTATATGAAGGGTACTTCATTCATGCCTTTGCAGAATGGATAAACATCATTTAAATGAACAAAAATAATATTTGAGCATTACATGCTTGCTGATGAAGTTTGAAAGAAAATCAAAACAATGACCTGGTAGAAATGACAGGCTAAGTGCCTGGAACCAGAGTTTAAAGTGATAGGCCAATTTTTTATACTGTTGTATCATCCTCTGTTCATTTCAATTTATTCATCTAACTCAATTAAATAATTACTTCATTTATAGTTGAGAAACTGATTGGGAATTTAAAAAGAAGGAAGGCTTATTTTCCTCTTCCAATTTATGAATAGCATGTGAGTGTGAGATGATGCGTTCCACTAGTTTTAAAATCTTGAAGGACATGATGAGAAGAAACAATCAGTCCGGTTCCCACTATAGAGAATATATGTTTTATTTAACAGATTAGTTAACTTGAAATGCAAAACATGTTTTGATAAACTTCCTTTTTTCCCTTATATATCTACATGTTTAAAGTAGTTTTATTTAATTTATAGCTTTTAAAATACTGTTTTGAATATATAATTGGATTTCAATTTCTAACAAATGCATCTTGACAGAAAACAAAAATAAAAAAAATCTCCGCCTCCTCATTATGTGAATAAATGCATTATTCAACATTTTCAAACAAAAACATAAAAATTATTCATCTGAATAATGTATGCTAAGCTCAATAATTGCTTAAATCAGTGTGTATAGACATGTCTCCTTGTATTATCAAAAAGAATTACGAAATTTAGTGTAAAGGCTACAGTAAAAGGCAAATCAACAGGTTTCAGCTGTTACTAATCAATTAGAAGAATCAACCTTCCTTTAGCAAAATAACTAAAAATTTCAAATGCAAAACAAAATTAAAATTAAATATTTAAATCAAGTTTTCCTGATTGCTGGTTTAAATACATGATTTAAATCAGTGTACCCTATGCTTTTGTTTTACTTTTCAAACAGGGCAAACTGCAGTTAAGCAGACGGAGGAAAAAAAAGAGATCATAGATCTTAGCTTCCTTTGATATCCTACTTCATGCTATGGCTTTTACTTTTTTTTATTTAAAAACACTGTTACAAGTCAAAAAATGTTTAGGATTATTTAACTTCTATCAAGGTGCTTTTAAACTAATGCACGTTGGCATTGTGAATATGTCTCTTATACCACTTCTACTAGTATACTTGAAACGTATTGGAAGTGAAGTGGCTAAGAGGTGTATGCATATGGTACTTATTAATCTTTACCTCAGAGTCTGTGTGGAAAATACACAGTAAAAATTTCTCTGTACAAGATTTCATACAATGCCTGCATCCAAAATGACTGGAAATGAGAGTTCTTCTGTGCAACAGGATTTTTTGGTGTGAGAAAATTGTTTATAAATTGATATTAAAAGGATACCATCAAGATAATTTTACAAAATTAAAAGGAAAACAAAAAAAACCCCTCTTTAAAATCTTGAGGAAGCAGAAAAACATTTATTTTTCTTTTCTATTACTTTTCTCCTTTTTTTCCCCCTCTAGCACACATATTTGCACAATCCCAGTAACTGCCAAAAGCCATGTAACCACATCCAGAATAGGGATATAAAAGGTTAACCAGTAAGGCTGTGTCTACAGTACATGTTTTGTCAAAAGAGACTATGCAAAAACATGCAGTGTAGATGTGTCCGTTTTGCACAAAAAACCATTTTTGCGCAAGATCCCGGAGAGACATAAGGAGCAGTTCCTATCCATGGTGGGCTCAGCCATATAATCCAAAGATGTCACCTTAAAATCAATCAGCAGGGGTGTGGCAGGTGCATATGAAAAAAAAAAGTATTTCAGAATGAAATTGTCCTTATTTTAGAGAGTAACTAAGCAACTCTTCATACACTACCAGAGAGTTCTCTTGATAGCAATCGAGAATATCATTGAAGGGTTAAGTAGAGCCTGTAAGAAGGTTCAGACTTCAGCTGACTTCTGCAACAAGTTATCTCAGAATTCTTCTAATTTTGGGAGATCTAATCCAGGAACCTGGAGAACTGTACAATGCTAATAAAGCAAGTGGAGTGAAATCCTAGCCCCAATAATATCAATGGCAAAATGATCGCTGATTTCTAAATGTGTAGGATTCTACCTGCTTGGTTTAAAAAATGTTTTCTTTTCCTCAGTGTGGGAAGGGGCAGAAGTCAAGGAAATGGTAGCGCTTTGGTAGACACTCTGCTAAGGAGATAACTAAATAGAGATGCCCACTGAATCTGTTGAGAGGAAATATAACTGCTCCCTCAGGGACTAAGAGCACTAATGGGTTTTAAGGAGGAGCTTCCAGTAATAAGCTGATGAAACCTTACTTCAAGAATGTGCAGAAAATAAGTACGCATGTACAAATGAGTTGAAAAGACAGGAAGAAGTTTGATAAATGTTGTTACTCTGCTAGAGCAGTGTATCTCAAAACGGTCCAAAGAGCCATTCAGAGAAAGCTGCCAAAAGGCCACTCTGGTTTGTCTACATACAGGTACAGCAAACACTGAGCCTCGCGGCTCACATTAGCTCCGGTTCACCATTTGCAGCCAACATGAGCTGCCACAGGAAATGGCATGGCCCAGGCCGCTCCTTCCTGTGGCTCCCCTTGGCAGCAAATGGTAAATTGGCACCAATGGGAACCGTGGCTGTGGAGCCAGTAGGTAAACAAACTGGAGTGACCCATTAGCAGCTTTCTCAGAGTGGGTCCATGGACCACTTTGAGAAACATTGTGCTAGAGGAACCAGACAGAATGAAAGACCTAGAAATGATTCTGGAGATCCAATGTGTTCGCTGTACTGCTCCACACTAGCATGTACCCTGTTCTGTTACTGCTGCAGCACAAAGGACACAAAAATCAGCAACTGAACATGTGCAACTCTCCCCCTCTTATACTGGGAGAGTTAAATGTGGTTTCAATTCCCATGTAGGATTGCTAACCTACAGAATTGTTCTGGAGACTCCAGGAATTAAAGATAAGGTTTCATTAAAACAAGGGTGTGGAACCTCAGGCCTGGGGCTGGATCTGGCCCCCGAAACTCATGCACCACCCCATTGCATTAGGGAGCCCATGCTGGTGCTCAATCCCTCTCATGGCTGGAGCATACAAAATCTATGAGGCTGCCCCCATCCTAGGCTCTGGTGTGCAAGGGGACTGTGAAGAGTATCTTTCTGCTTCTTAGTAAGGGACCACATCAATGAGGGTTTTTTGTATGTGGCCCACAACTTATTTTTCTGTGGGTCAGTGGCCCCAACCCAAAAAAGGTTCCCCACCCCTGCATTAAAGATTGTCATGTGATGAAAGCTTCAGAAATATGACCAACCCAAACTGGCAAATCTACCACATGGAATATCACACCCATAGAATCAGATATGGCACATCATCAGACCCAAGCTAAGCAGCAGCCTGGCTCAGATGGAAGGAAGCCACTAACTAGTGTGTAGTTCATCATGCCAAGTATTGATGGGTGAAACAGAACAGCAGCTGCACACCTATAACTAACCATGATAGATCTGATTTTGTCACAATTCAGCAAACTCCTCCAGAATATTGAGGAAGTCCAAAATACACGTTTCATACCAAATCCCTATTACCAAAAATACAGATATGCTGGTGCTTGACCTCACCATCTCTCATTGAGAGGATAAGGACCCATGCAAAGGATGACCGCTGTCATTCAAGAATAGCAGGTAGGAAGTAATTGACATCTTGAAGGACAGGGCTAAAGAGCCAGGCTTTTTATTTTCTTCAGTGCTTGTCATTGGAAAGGGACCCAGGCCAAGAGGATGTTAGAGAAATTGTTTAACGTTAGATTTGGCTATAAAATGAAAGCCTATTTGTGTGGGAAATGGGTAATAAATTGTTTTCATTTTGAAGCATTCCAAATAGTCCACCCTTTTGTTATTTCAAAGGCTTTCATGATTTATTCTGTAGCATTATTGAGTAGGCTATAAACATTTTTGATTTACTGAAAGCTAAATTATGTTAAATGAAAAATTTTGCTAATCTTTTCAATAACATTTGGACAAAAACCAATGTATTAAAGCATCGGCATTTTTGCAAAGATTTAAAAACACATGCAACGTCAATGCTTTCATTAAAAATGCATTTTATGAAAACATCTCTTTAAAATCTTTGACCAGCTATACTCAAATATGGCCACCAAATAAGTTAAAATGTTCTCTCACTACTGCCCAATCTACGGTGTTATTATCTGGGCTTGTGGCATCATTAATTTTGTACAAGTGACAGAAGGAAATATTAGAGATCACAATTTTGTAAGTGTTCGACCTAAAGAACACCCAGTGAGCTTAATGGGAGCTTCACTTTGTGAACCCTTCATAGAGCATAGCCACTATGTGTCTGTGCTACCATTTACTTCTCTTTCTTTTAAATGGAAGAGCCAGAATGGATGAAAAGGAAGGGC